TGAAGATGCCGGCCACAGAGACTGGCGAAACGTCAGGAAGAACAACCTTCAGAACATGGCCAAAGAGCCCGAAAAACCCACAACAACCATTTCCCTTCAAGTCTGTGAATCCGTCAAAGAGGAGGATAGAAAGAAAAAAAGAAGAAGCAAAAGACAGTTGAAATCTACAGCCTTTTTAAACCTGAAAAGGTCAAGTTGTCATTTTTATGAGTTTTGTTGAGTGGAGACTTATCCAGTCTTATGACCGGTGGTTTGTGTTGCCTTGAAATAAACTTGGGGGGGGGGAACTTGCTTCATACTTCAAAGTCCACTTCTTTATTGAAGCTGTTTTCTATAGTAAGGGGGGAAAGTTGGAGCTGATTGTGCCAACTGTCTTTGGAGTGCTTGTTCCATTTCCCTTAGGGGCAGCTATTGCTCCACCTCTCAGAAAACACAAGTCATGGGCCAGAGTGTGGACTCACCTCCCTCTATGACCGTCTCCAGACAAGAATTGGAGGTTCTTCGTGATTTCGTGTACCTTGGCTCAACGATCTCTGACACTCTCTCCCTAGATGTCGAGCTGGATGAACGCATTGGCAAAGCAGCTACCATGTTCTCTAGACTCACAAAGAGAGTATGGCTCAATAAGAAGCTGATGGCATATACCAAGATCCAGGTCTATAGAGCCTGTGTCCTGAGCACACTCCTGTACTGCAGTGAGTCCTGGACCCTTTGTGCACGGCAGGAGAGGAAGCTGAACACCTTCCATATGCGTTGTCTCAGACGCATTTTTGGTCTCACCTGGCAGGACAAAGTTCCAAATAGAGCAGTCCTAGAATGAGCTGGATTTTTAGCACGTATACATTACTGAAACAGCTACGTCTATGTTGGCTTGAGCATGTAGTGAGAATGGCTGATGGTCGGATTCCAAAAGATCTCCTGTATGGAGAATTAGTGCAGGGAAATCTCCCCAGAGGGAGACCACAGCTGCGATAGGAGGAGATCTGCAAGCAGGATCTGAAGGCCTTGGGAATGGACCTTCACAGATGGCCTCTGAGCGTTCAGCCTGGAGGCAGGCAGTGCATCATGGCCTCCCCCAATTTGCAGAGACCTTTGTCCAGCAGGTCGAGGCAAAGAGGCAGTCCCGAAAGAAGCAAAATCAGGGAGCTGGACAGGGGACAGATTGTATTTGTCTTCAGTGTGGAAGGGATTGTGGTCACTCTCGAATTGGCCTTCTCAGCCACACAAGACACTGTTCCAAGACCTCCATTCAGAGCACGTCACCATCGTTTCTCGAGACTGAACGATGCCTACAACCATCTTATAGATGGTCCTGGAGAGAACAAGATGATTCTTCTATCCTGAAGTGATTTCCTTGTTGTGCAAACAAAGTTTCATAATTAAGCGATGGGTGTGCACATGTTCGTAGGGTTATGTAACAAGTGCCTGCCCAGCATACCAAGTTGCTTTGGTATATTTCATGTTCCAGTTGGCTTTGTCCAGTTCCTTGTTCAGAAACGTTGTTCAGAGTTCTCCAAAGATTTATTTTTGGCCTCGAAACACAGCTCCTTCTTCAAACTCATTCATGTTTTTTTCGCCGCATGAACTGTTGTTGGCTTTGGCATCTCTTGTGAGGCAAGCTCGCTTTCGCTGCTGTGAATGGATCCCGTTATTCTAGTCAAAGCCATGTTTGTTCACAAAATGTCTAAAAATATTTATGTGTTGTTTTTTTTAAAGGATCAATTACTGTTTCGCCTTTGAACATAACAGCTGGTTTTTAAAAAACAGTGAAAAGACATTGGTTTTGGGTGATCTGAATTGCCATCAGTATATAATATATAAAGAGTGAATATCATACTTACATATAAACCACTTATATATAGTAGACTCTGGTTTAACTAAATAGTTCACCTTCCAGATGTGCTAGATTTTATAGAATTTTCTAGGGAGAGAGTACAGTGGTGCCTCGCTAGACAATTACCCCGCATGACAGTTTTTTCGCTAGACATTGACTTTTCGCAATCGCTATAGTGATTCGCAAAACAGTGATTACTATGGGGGAATTTCCCTGAACAGTGTTTGGTCCCTGCTTCGCAAACCAATTTTTGGTAGACGATGACTTTGACAGCTCCGTCCGTGCTTGCAAAATGGGTATTTTTGGGACCTAAGCTTCGCAAGACAGCTATTTAAGCAGCTGATCGGCGGTTCGCAAAGTGGCTTTCCTATGGCTGATCTTCTCTAGACAACGGCGATTCTTCCCCATTGGAATGCATTAAACAGGTTTCAGTGCATTCCAATGGGGAAATGCTTTTCGCTAGACGATGATTTCACTAAACAGCAATTTCAGTGGAATGGATTATCATCGTCTAGCGAGGCACCACTGTACTCAGAAATGGTTTATTATTCCCTTTCTGGGGGGGGGGAGTGTTCTGGAACTGTGCTCCAGGCTGGCTCTGGAGGCGCAGTGGGGGAATCAAACTCCCAACCTTTGGCTTCACAGCCAGATTCCTAAACCACTGTTGTACGAGTGAATGTACAGGGTGTTTTTTTTATTATTATTATTTTAACATGAATGTTAGTTTACAGAAATGTGTAATTTCACAAGAGGTCGCCAAGTGAGTCGTGGTCTAAAAAAGTGGATTTGTCCACAGAAGTTCACATTAATATATAGAAGTTCAGGCTCCAAGGTGTCACAATCTTTTTATTTTTCTTTTGTTTTTGTTTTTTGTTTTCTTTTTGCTAGCAATGTACAAAACTGGTGTATGAAACCATGTTGTATCGCAGATGCTTGCTTCAGGAGGAAGCAAAGCCTGGAACAACAATGTTCAGCACAGATCAGTCTGTGAAAACCTCATTTTAAAAAAATGGTGTCCTGGCAGATCAAAACTTAGTAGGATTTTTTTAAAAACCCTTGTATCAAAATTCAGCAGAGGGGTAGCAAAACAAACCTCCTGTGGCAAGGAGTTCCTCAGTCTAAGGGATCCGCCATCATACTTCTGTCTCTTCTTTTTCCACCCCATTGTCCTTGACTATCACTGACATGGCTGGAAGAGGGTCTTGTTGAGCTCTTCCAGAATAAGCAAAGCTTGGGAAATTTTCTCCCAGGGATCACAGCTCCCATCATCCTTCAGTCATAGGCCTGTACTATTCCAGGTGGGGATCCTAGGATCTGTAGAAGAACAAAACCAGCTTGCTAAACTGTTTCATCCTTCTTCCCGGCAGTTGTATTTTGCTTTCATGCACCGGATTCCTGCCAGCTCCGGTGCACTCCCTACCTCATGCATCTCGTCCTCTCTTTTCCCGCAGTCTGCACAGTGCGATGCCAAAAATTCCTCATCTCCAAAGTGGGTGAAGACTGGATCTTTCTAATCCTCCTGGGATTGGTTATGGCCTTGGTGAGCTGGGCCATGGACTTTGCCATAGCCACCTGTCTACAAGGTAAGGAAGCAAAGGGGAGGGGGGGGGCGACAAGGGGTGCCATTCAGAGCGGGACTAACTCTGCCTTCCCTATGCCTGAGCCAAAGAGTGTCATTGCTACTGGAAGGCAACACTTTGCCTTTTTTGGACCAGAATCTGCCAGGAGTTGTGGTCCCCAAAAGGCAGCATTTCAAACCTTTCGGATAGTTGTGCTTCTCCAGATCTCTCTGCAGTTTTTCTGTACAAAACCTCCTTGGGGAAAAAGGTGTAAATTACAGGGCAACATTTTTTAATGGTGCATGTTCCTGTACAAAAATGTGTGCGGTAGTGTAGAAAACAGCATTCTGCCACAGAAAACTGTTGGCAAAGAGACACACAGCTGGCTAAAATGATATGCAAACATTCAAATTTTTTTAAAAAAAGTGTAAATAAGCCTACAGATTTTTGCACTGACTTTTAAAAGCAAAAATGCACAGTTGGGGACAGAACAAACTCGGTAAACTGAGAGAAGCCAGAAATGATAGATTTGTCCCTACGCACCCACGAACGTGAGTTTGTAGGGAAAAGGCTGTTATAAGCAGGTAGGCAGTTTTGAGATCATCAAGGACAGTGGAACTCGCAGAACAGAGAGTGATGGGAAAACCAAGAGCAGAAAGACACCTACATTTAATGTATGGATTGACTGGTGTGGAATCTCACCTCCCGCACCTGTTCTGTCAATGTCTTTCATTGGAACTGGTGGAGCGATGGCATATTTTCCCCAATCATTTCCCATATAGACATATGCAGTCTTTCCCACTTCTCTTTGGCCCCACTTCCTGTGGGGTGCAACTCCAATTGGAATACAGTGGTGCCTCGCTTTACGATTGCCCCGCATTACGATGAATCTGCTTTACAACGATCTTTTTGCAATCACAATTGCGATCACAAAACGATGGTCTAAATGGGGGAATTTCGCTTTGTGATTATTGGTTCCCTGCTTCGGGAACCAATTCTTTGCAAAACAACATTTTTCAAACAGCTGATCGGCGGTTTCAAAATGGCTGCCGGGTAATCAAAATGGCTCCCTGCTGTGTTTAGGGACAAATTCCTTGCTATACAGGCAGCGAAAATGGCCGCCGTATGGAGGATCTTCGCTGGACGGTGAGTTTTAAGCCCTTTGGAACTCATTGAAAGGTTTTCAATGCGTTTCAATGGGCTTTTTATTTTTGCTTTACGATGTTTTCGCTTAACGGCGATTTTCCTGGAATGGATTATCGCCGTTAAGCGAGGCACCACTGAATCCTACAAACATCACCTAACAAACTCCTCATTCAAACTCACCCCCACCTCCAAATGCTGTAACTGCCCAGGGATTCATCACTTGCCCATCCTCTGGGCTTTTGAAATACCTACTGAGAAGCTGCCCCATTTCCCCGGTGTTCAGCGCTTGGTTTGTTCTGAATGATTGAGGTTGTGATTTGGCAGTTTTAAAGAAAAGACTGTCCCGTGAGGAAGCAGAGGCCAGCCTCTCCCAACTCAGCGTGGTCCAGAAGCGTGGGACTATAATTCCCATTATCTCCAAGCCAGCATGGCTGCTGGTTGGGGATGATGGGGAATGTAGTTCTACATATCAGGAAGGCTCCGGAATGCAACAGGCTTATCGGAAACCCATGAAAATGTCTCTCTTGTGTATCTATTAGCACTCTCACACACACTGTATTTCTGTTTCCTTTTGTTCTCTGTGCAGCCCAGAAATGGATGTACGGCGGTCTCAACACCAACATCTTTCTGCAGTACATGGCCTGGGTCACCTACCCAGTTGTGCTCATCACGTTCTCAGCTGGCTTCACCCAGATCTTGGCTCCACAGGCTGTGGGTGAGTTGAGGGAAGGAACTCTGGGTGGGAGGAAATGGGCGGCCCTTTTGATGCGGCTTCTTGTAGAATCAAAGAAGAGAGAAGTGGGAAGGGGCCTGTGAGGCCATCAAGTCCAGCCCCCCTTGCTCAATGCAGGAGTACAAGTCAAAAGAGATCTGTCAGGGGGTTGTCTAAGTTTCTCTTGAATGCTTAGAAGGTCAGGATACCAGAGGTTGCAGAAGTGACATTTTTGACCTACAGATCTCAGTGGCCATGCTAGCTGGGGGAAGCATGGAAATTGTAGTCCAGGAAAGTAAGGCTCCCAAACTCTGTGCCAGACCGTCTTCCCTGATCAGTACTGGACTGTCTAGTGAAGGAGGTCTGTCCTCCTTCTAAGACTCCTATAAACAGGACCCAGGGAATTCCGTCATGGCTGAACCGGGTCATTCATGGTTCCGTACATATTAAGATCTTGTAATTTCACTGCAAAAGCTGGGATTTCTAAAATGCAGCATCCTGAGGATCTGGGAAGCCGTGAGAGATAGTAATAATGAGAGAGAAGAACCAAGTCTTTAGCCCCCGTGTTGTGCTTGAGATTACACAGAAATCAGCACAGGACAGAGTGAGGTTTCTTCTAGAGCCCTGAGAATTCTGGCCAAAGATCGCTTCGTGTCACTCTTCTTCCTCTTCCAGGATGTGCAGAAGCAGCATAGAAGACAAAAACAGTAATGCATTCATTCGTTTATAATGCTTCTCTAAGCAGTCGTTGCACAAAATGCTATACAGTCATAACTAAAATATGTGCACGATGCAGTGTAAACATCATAAGCAATTTACATCGAAACATTAACTCAGGGCGGTAATTGAGTCAGTAGGAGCCAGGAAACACCAGTGTCAGTGAGTAACATGTTCAGAAGGCATTTGAAATGTTTGAGACTTTGCACCTCTCAAACAGATGCCCTCGGTAGTGCGAGAGCAACAGACGGATGAGATGTCAGTCGTCTTAAATAATGGATCATTCTCTTCCACGGTGATTCACCTGTTAAGCAACCCCAGTCTGGCTTCTGCACAATAGAATCATAAAATCATGGATTTGGAAGGGACCTATAAAGCCATCGAGTCCAACCCCCTGCTCAAGGCAGGAATCCAAATCAAAGCAGATCTGACAAGAAGGTTGTCCAATTTTCCCTTGAATGCCTCCAGTTAAAAAGGCAACCTATAATTCTTCTGTGTGGCAGTGCTGCTTACCTTGCAGACACCTAAATGTGGCTTACCTGGGGGAAAGGCTTAAACTGGAACACTGTGCATCTTAGCTAGGCTCAGCCCCACCCTAGCTCCCTGCTCAGAAACACATCTACCGACTGATGCCAGGACACGGACAGAAAACCTGGGTGGAGCTAAGCCAGGCTAAGCCTCTGAATTTAGCCCTTTCTCCCAGGTAAGCCAACATTTAAGCATTTTCAAGGTAGGTAGAACTCTCAGAATGGAGAATTATGGTATTTCTAGTCTTCAGAAAGTCAAGAAAGTTCATCTCTAGATGGAATGCCATTTGCAGTTTGACGTCAGACAGCAAAACATCTTGGGATGACCTTCTTTTCCATACTTCTACAGTTGTGCCTAGCTTTACGATTGCCCCGTATAACGATGAATCTGCTTAACGATGCCTTTTTTGCGATTGCAAAAGTGATCGCAAAACGATGCTTCCTATGGGCAAAATCCGCTGTGCGATGATCGGTTCCCTTCTTCGGGAACCGATTTTTCGCATTACGACGATCAGCAAACAGCTGATCGTCGGATTCCAAAATGGCCACCGGCTGAAGAAAATGACCCCCACTGTTTTCTAGGATGGATTCCTCACTAGACAGGTACCAAAAATGGCCGCCATATGGAGGATCTTTGCTGGATGGTGAGTTTTTAGCTCATTGGAACGCATTAACCGGGTTTTAATGCGTTTCAGTGGGTTTTTTATTTTCACTTTACGATGTCTTCACTCTACAGCGATTTCGCTGGAACGAATTAACATCGTTAAGCGAGGCACCACTGTACTCCATTTCTTTTTTCTTTTCTTTTACAGGGTGGTTCTCACTATTCTTGCCACTTTGTATGGACAGGAAAGGTTTACTGAAACCCTCTTTCCCCACTTTTCATGCCTCCTCCTTTTCTCCGTCGCTTCATCCCTGTCGCGACTGCCACCTCCACCTACGTCACCACTAGAGATGACAGGCCACGATCCTTCTCACACACACACACACAGTACTTCGCTGCCACCAACCACACATAAATCTGACACCTCAGACTATGTATGGATTTTAAAATAAAAATAATGATTTATTGAATACAGACTTAAAAAGGAAATCACGGTGTAAAAGAATCACTTCTAATACTATATTTATCAGACCTTCACCCTGCACAGTTCTTTATTACTTTATTCACAGTTCCTTAATCACCTAACCTATACCTAACCCTGTCACTCTCTAATTCCCCAACCAACAACAACCCTCAACAACCTTTCCCTCCTTGTACACCCCCCTTATATACACAAGCTCCACCCCTATAAGACCCACCTCCTGCCTTGCCATAGGCCAGGAAACTCCAGCCTTAGCCAAGACAGGCAGGTGACGTCATGGCACACGTCACAATCCCTTGTTCTCTCTCCAGGTTCTGGCATTCCTGAAATGAAGACCATCCTCCGGGGCGTGGTGCTGAAAGAGTATCTGACTCTGAAGACGTTTGTGGCCAAAGTGATTGGCTTGACCTGTGCTTTGGGTAGCGGGATGCCTTTGGGTAAAGAGGTGAGGAACCCGGACACGGGGACACGGCTGGGCTGCCGCCAGATGGCATTCAGGTTCTCTTAAGGTGCTGGGAAGAGATTGGTGGGTTGGAGCGCTTGTGGGAAGAGGAATATAAGACGCTGCCTTACAATGAGCCAGTTCTTTTCTCCCTCTATGCCCATCCCGGTCAACTCTGACAGGAAGTAAACGGTTATCCAAGATTTAAGGCAGAACCCTTTCCTTGGCCTTCCTGGAGATTCCTGATATTTTGTTATGGTCTCCCATCCAAGTAGTAACCAGACCTGTCCCTGCTTAGCTTCCAGTCTCAGATGAAGTGGAACTCTTTACCATGGGATGTGGTGGTGGCCTCTGGCCTGGATGCCTTTAAAAGGGGATTGGACAGATTCCTGGAGGAAAAGTCCATTGCAGGTGACAAGCCATGATGGGGATGTATATAATCTCCAGGCTTAGAAGGAAGGGACCTCCAGATGCAGGGGAGGGGGATCAGGAGACAGGGATCTGGTGGTCCCGTATGCTCCCAGAGGCATCTGCTGGGGCCAAGGTAAGATACAGGAAGCTGGACTAGATGGGCCCATGGCCTAATCCAACCCGGCTCTTCTTATGTTCTTACGTTCTTTATGAAGTTCATATGTTTAGGGTGAAATGGTGGAAAGCTTCTAGTATCTCTGTTGGAGACAGAATGTTCCCCTGAACCTGCTCTTCCCTGGTTCACCAGGTATGCCTCTGAGCCTCCCGACATCATTTTAACCCTTTCCTCCCTTTTCCTACCCAGGGACCCTTCGTCCATATAGCCAGCATGTGCGCAGCCCTCCTCAGCAAGTTTCTCTCGCTTTTTGGTGGCATCTACGAGGTGAGCAATGAATGGATGGGTTTGGAAGCTTGATGCAGGCTAAGACTCAGAGCTTGGAAAAGTTGGTTTTTTTGAACTACATGGCCACTGGGAGATATAGTCCCAAAAAATGGATTTTCTTCCCAAATTCCAGAAAAATCACAAGACTGCTTAGATTTGTCTGCAATAACGTCTCTGTGGCTAAAATCGGGTATGATGAACCTTGGACCACCCCAGATGTTCTGGACTGATGTTTCCACAATACCTTACCATTTGCCACCAAGTCTAAGATATCTATTAGGGACGTGGTGGCGCTGCAAGTTAAACCACAGAAGCCTCTGTGCTGCAAGGTCAGAAGACCAGCCATCCTAAGATCGAATCCACACGACGGAGCAAGCTCCCGTCTCTTGTCCCAGCTCCTGCCAACCTAGCCATTCAAAAGCATGTAAAAATGCAAGTAGATAATTAGGTACCACCACGATGGGAAGGTCATGGCGTTCCGTGTCTAGTCGCACTGGCCCCGTGACCATGGAAACGGTCTTTGGGCCAGCGCTGGCTCTATGGCTTGGAGACGGGGATGAGCACCGCGCCCTAGAGTCGGACATGACTGGACTAAATGTCAAGGGGGACCTTTTACCTAGGATATCTGAGAGTTGATGTCCACAGCTCTGGGAAGGCCAGCGTGTCTCCTTGTCCCCTGCTGAAGCCTGCAGGTCAGGTCTTTCACTGACATGGATACAAGAGCACCATAGTTCTGCTTCAGAATGGCTCTTTAAATGAACCCAGTTCAAAGAGCATCTTTTCCTGAATTGGTAGAAATGGGGCCATCCATTACTAACAATGTGTGTAGCGTGTTTTGCCTCTTTATGCAGTGTTTTGACCCTCCGTTTCCCAGTAGAAATAAATATAGCCCCTTCTAACTGGCGAGATGTTTTCTCATGACTTTGCTATGTTGCTCAATTCTTTTTCCTGTGGCATGGTGATAAATGTGGAGATGTGGGTGGAATTATCACCGTGATAATCCCCATAGCCACATTCTGTAAGAAGGACATAAAACTTCAGGCAGCTCATTTGGCCAGTGTCCACAAGTGCAGAGTAGATCTTTTTACGGATAGGGTGTTTAGATCTCTTTGACTGCCAATCCCATAATTCAGTGTTCTGGGAATTTTTTGTTTTATAGGCTGCCTTTCTCCTGATAAGGGGACCCAAGGCGAATTGCAGAATTAAAAATAATAGAATTAGAAACATAATAAGTTAAATGTTAGAAAACAATTAAACTGTATATTAATTAAAATACAATTGAATCATTAACAGCAAGTAAACACTAAGAACTATCTTAACTTTGAAAAAGGCATTGGGGACTTAATTAGAATTTATTTGCACAGTAATGGGGCTCAGCTGGGAGAAAATGCCTAAACTGGATGACCTTTGAGGTTTACCTTGGCCTAGCTTGGCCTAGCTTCCTGGTCAAAAAGAAAGCTCCCAGCTAGCATGGCGGCAGGAACAGGAAGCTTGAGTGGAGCTAAGCCTAGCTCAACTTCAAAACCTTCCAGGATAGACCATGGATCTTCAGTACAGTGAATGGCTCTGACGTAACTGCCAGTTCGGAAACCAAACCACTTTCCAATACTTTGCATTATAGCAGGGACAGCTTGCAATCATGTTTTATTCCAGGGAAAATCCATTTCCTCTTCAAAACCTTCCAGGATAGACCGTGGATCTTCAGTACAGTGAATGACTCTTATGTAACTGCCAGTTCAGAAAGCAAACCACTTTCCAGTACTTTGCATTTCAGCAGGGACAGCTTGCAACCATGTTTTATTCCAGGGAAAATCCATTTCCCCAAATGTTACAGTGGGACTGCAGCTTAGCTCAGAGGGAACTCTTACAGATGACATGTGGTGGCATCGTCCCTGCTACTTGGAAAATCCTGGAGTTTTGACTCCGCAAAGCCTGGGTTCACTACACCATTGTCCCCCCCTTTTTTTTTGCAGAATGAATCGCGCAACATTGAGATGCTGGCGGCCGCCTGCGCGGTGGGTGTCGGCTGCTGTTTTGCTGCCCCCATTGGAGGTAAGGCTTATTCTGGAGTCTCCTTTGCCTGAGCCCCGGACAGCCCCCTTCTTCCTTTGACCAAAGTTGCTGGATCAAAGAGCGGTGGCAGAGAAGGAGTGGCTTCAGACAGAATATAGGAAGCTGGCTCACTCTTGAGTCAGACTCTTGATCCATTGACTCTAGCATTGTCACCTCGGACTGGCAGCTGCGTTTCCCATGGGATTCTTTCCTGTCCTTATCTGGAGATCAGTGGTGGGGAGTTGTGCATAAAGATTGTCCAGGCCCCCCAACCTTGCTTGACTTCCAAAAGACGATGATGATGCGGTGTAAAATGTGTACAATGTCAATGCAGCATCTTTGACCCTCCAACCGATGTAGGCTCCCATCGGAGTCTACATCGCTTGGATGTGGGTCCAGTGGCAGCCATTTTGGGAGCTGTTGCTCCAAACCTCTGGAGGATTAAAAGATTTCCCACCTTTGGCATTAGGCCTCCTTTAGAGGTGTCTCCTATGCAACTTTGTTTGGGACGATGAGTAACCCAGCTATTTCAGCTTCAACTTTTCGGGTGGGCAGTTGAAGGATATACACAAGGATTCTGCCTTGTCCTGAAGCCTATCCGGGCTTCGGTTCAGTACAAGAGGTCAACCCAGCTGTGAAGTTCTTTCCCCCTTGACCTAAATGAAATGAAATAGGTGGCCTTCTAGATTTTTTTTTTAATCGTTACTTCAACTGTTGCCTGTGATGCTAAGACAGATGAGAGTGTCAGTTTCTGGACGGCCCCAGTCGCTCGCCCTTGACCTACATCCGTGGAAGCCGGCAGTCAGGAGCACTCTGCATGTGCTTCAGAGTGCACCTTCTCTCTGACCTCCTGAGTTTGGGTAAAATTTTGCGGCCCCAGGTGCTCCAGCTCAGAGAAAGCCACCACCTCTCAACCCCTGAGTGTTGCAAGATGAAGAGAGAGGCAAAGTGTATCACACTTAGCCGCCTCTCTGATCCCAGATGTTGAAGATGCCAAGTTCTGCAGGTCTGATGGGTGTTGCATCTTGCAGTTCTCTTTGCTTGTCCGCTTCTGTGCTGAACTCTTTTTCTCCCTCTGTGATTCTCCTCCTGCTGTGCTGTGTGTTTCCGGACACTGGCAGGGCTTGGCGGATCTCCCAAAGGAAGGAAGGGAACAGCAGACGGCCATTTTTCCCTTTGCACACATTCTATTTGTATACAAATCATTTGTTTCCGTTGGCTGGCCTGGAACCTGGGAAGCCCGTCAGACCAACAAACAAGCAAACAAACAGCCCTGTGAGGACCGTACCACTGCAGGGTGTCAGGATGCCCATCAGAAGGGTGCACATGGACTTCCTGGCAACCGTATTGTCTTGACCTGACCTGCCTTGTGCAAGACAAATCCAGTCTGTAAGCATCTGTCACCAGGAAGAAGGCAGGGAGCCATGTGAGGGGCTTCTGGCACTCTATGTGAATCAGACGACAACTCCCAGAAGCTTCAGCCATCTGGGTCAATAGTAAGGGATTTATAAGGGTTGAATCCTGAAGGATTGGAATGGCCACAGATTCTCCAGTTCTGGCTTGGGAGACCTCAAGGCTGACCACTTTGTGGCAGTGATTAAATCCACGATAGCACGCATGTTTATTGCATGTCTGTCCAGAAACCACTTCCGTTGCTGCTCTCAAGAGAGCCCATTGACAGATCAGTCTCTCTCCATGCCCCAAAACCCTGGGTTCATTCCTTCCTTGTCTCTGTGGTGTGTATGGATGGATGTGTATGTGTTTGTGATCATGGTCAACATTTTAGTAAGTGCTGTGGAAGAAGGTTTTGTTTTGTGGCTGCTTTGGAAAAATTCAGTGGGATCCTGGAGTTTCTGCCTCCCAAGATAAGGAAAAAAACATAAAAAATACAAGCTTCCTAGGAGACGTGGGGCCGTGGCACTCCCGTGTGTCCTGTCCCTCCGTTTCCTTGCCGTCCACTTGTTCTCTTGGCCATCAGCAGGAGAGACAGCAGCAAAATGTACCGCGTGTGCTGTGTTAACGTCACACAGGATTGGAAGACAATAGCAAGAGGTGCTTGGATGAGTTGTGGAGTGGTGGGGATGGTCTCCTGCCTCTTAGACCATCTATTTTTCCCCGGTGATGGACTTTTCTTCCAGGAATCTGCCCCATCCCCTTTTAAAGGCATCTCAGCCAGAGGCCATCACCACATCCTGTGGTAAGGAGTTCCACAGACTCACAACACCCTGGGAAACAAAATGTTTTCTTTGGTCTGTTCTCCCTCTCCCAAAACTCAACTGGAGTGGATGTCCCCTGGCGTGAGAGGGAAAAGAGATTCCCTCTATCCGCTTGATCCATCCCCTGCATCATGTTATATGTCTCAATTATGTCCCCCCCCCCTCAGGTGCCTTTGTCTGTGGCTCTCCTCTGTTTTAGCCTCACAACAACCCCACAAGGTAGGTTAAGCGGAGAGCGACAGACGCGAGGCAGTCACGCATGGATTTTCAGGAGTCATCAGGGGCTGAACCTGGATTCTCCAAGACCAGTCATCACTTAAAACTATTTCATTACATGGGCTTTCCTGTTCTAAAGAAACTGTGGCCATGCCATCTGGGGGATTCTGGGAGTTGTAGTGCAAAAAACCTCCACAACATGTCTAAAGCTAGCTTTCTACACTTCAGAGAGAAACACTCACTTCTGGACCTTGATGGACTGTAACCCCTCCCGAACTTCCAAAAATATTTTTATTTAACAAAAAACACAAAAAAACTACCCAGGCCCCCACCCACACACCCTAAGACAAAATACAGTGGTACCTCGCTTAGCGATTGCCTCGTTTAACGATGTATTCGCTTAGCGATGAGGTTTTTGGAGCAATTTTGCGCTCCGTTTAGTGATGTTCCCTATGGGGAAATTTCGCATAGCGATGTTCGGGACCTTGCCTCGCTTAGCGATGACAGTTTAGGTCCCCTGTTTCGCTTAGCGATGTTCCGTTTTCGCTGTTTTTAAAGTGTCTTAAAATGTTCAAAAACTGTTTTAAATGCTTGGTCAATGCATTCCTATGGGAAATGGTGTTTCGCTTAGCGATGTTTTCCCATAGCGATGTTTTTTTGGGAACTAATTAACATCGTTAAGCGAGGTACTACTGTACTATTTTTTAATAAGTTTACAAAATTTGGGGAGGTGTGGGGAAACCTTATTGTGATGGCAGGGACAACAGGGCAAGATCATAACCAAGACCTTCAGATGCCAGAAGGGGACTTTGTGAACAGTTAAAAATGTGTAGGCAACAGGAGAGCTGGTGGTTTCTCAGTCCCTGGAAGGGCACCTTTGGGCCGCACATTGCCAATTAAGGAAATAAATTACCTTGGTCTCAACCATTGATTGCTGGTAACAAATGCCACTTCCAGATTTTTCTCTCTGAAATCACACTCCTTAATAATGATAACATGCTGGTTCTCTCTGTGTCTAGGTATTGATTTCAAGCAATGTGATTTTTTTTTTGAATAATTTTGTCATCCATGTTAATTGTGAGGAACTAATGTCTCCATTAAGTGCTCTCAGTACATTACTTGTACTTGGGAATTGTCATAATATTTAGACCTGTGGTTAGAACAGTGGAATCTGATGAGGATTAAGAAGAGTTCCCCTGAAAGCAAGTCACGCAATTGAGCAAAGCTATTTTAAACGCAAACTAGGTAGAACATTACTTGAGATATTCATATCTATCAAACCTTCACTGGAAGGACAGATCCTGAAGCTGAGGCTCCAATCCTTTGGCCATCTCATGAGAAGAGAAAAGTCCCTGGAAAAGACGCTGATGTTGGGAAAGAGTGAAGGCAAGAGGAGAAAGGGACGACAGAGGACAGGGTCATCGAAGTTACCAACATGAATTTGACCCAACTCCGGGAGGCAGTGGAAGACAGGAGTGCCCTAACCCAACTCCCCTTCCCTTTTACCTTCTGTATCCCATACCCCAACCCAAGTTATCCAAATAATAAAAATAAAATTAAAAGAATAAGAAGATATGAGGGCCTGGCGTGCTCTGG